ATATATATATATATATATACAAAAAACTAGAATATTATATCAAAATGATGATACTAAAATAACACTGTATAAATACATGTAATAAATGCATGTTTTTTAAATGTCTATATATAAATATCAGAATGCAAAATATTATATTATACTATATTTATGTTTGCATTGTGACATTTTTTGACGTTTAAGCACATTTCCCCCTCATATTCCCCCTCAATTCATTCTGGAGGCTTTTTTTTTTTTTTGTAACTTTTGATTCTCATTCGTTATTTTCATTACTGTAATACAATAACAACTTATATTTTGCTTCCGGTCGTACAGACATGAGGGTGAGGTAATAATGCCTGAACATACGATTTTGCTCACTAGAATATCAATACATTTGATTTTTCTTAGTCTTTTTCAGTGTTTCATTAAAAGAAAACCAGGAGGCCAGCTGTCAATCAAACCATCATCAGCCCCTCCCTCCACGTCTTGTGTTTACGTTTCGGATTTAGTCTCCTGTTTTCGTTTCTTTTTTTTCTTTTTTTTCAGGGAAACCAAAAATGATAATATCGAGATGGGTAAAAACACCCTCAATCTTATGAATACCACTGGAGTATGATAACTCAGGCATCTCAGAAATGGTAAAACAGTCCTTCGCCGTTCGAATAAACTGTCAACAGCCTCGCTGGAAAAAGACCACAGAGATCCCAGTGTTCATGAGTGAATGGAATAACAGCCCAACTTCATTTAGCTTTGATCAACCTGTAAAATTAGAGCAATTACTAAAATTAATCTGATATTTTGCAGAAGACAGGTTTGCGAGCCAGGGATTGCAAATGGTACGGAAAAACCTTCCTTAAGCCTGAAAAGAGCTGCACTGTGAGACTTTTAAGGGATCATGTTTTTTTTCCTTTTGGGCCAAATTCAATCAAATGCTTTCCTTTAAATAGGTTTATATACATTTAACCCTGATGTTGTGAGAGGATTTTGGTTTTCCCGAAAATGCTAGTTAATGTTATCGCATTGCACTAAAACTTACTGACTTACCTCACACAGGCTGTAGCTACTTGCAAAAAAAAGGTATAGTTTAATTAAAAAAGTACGTTTTAGTAATTTTGTCTTTCTCATTGTCATTTAAAAAAAATATATTCAAAAATTATTTAATTTTATTTAATATAGTATAATTCAAAAATATATTATATTAATTATATTACATTACATTACATTATATAATATTATATATAGGCCTCGTATGCACCTAAGTTTTTGAATAAGCATTGCCAAAATTATCCACAAATCATGCTTTTTTGATATATACAGTGGGTACGGAAAGTATTCAGACCCTCTTAAATTTCAAATGGCTGCAATATAACAAAGAGTGACAAATTTAAGGGGGTCTGAATACTTTCTGTACCCACTGTATGTCATTGATAATTGATATACTATCCTAGGTTTTATAAGGATAGTATATCAAAGATTTATAAGCAAGGGTTAAGAGAATAAATGATTATAAACTGTATTATTACTCTTAGTGATCTAGTTCAGATCTAGTCGAATGGGTCATAAAATTGTTAATGTATCATTGTACATCAGAATACTATCCTTTGTAAATATAATTCCTCAGGAAAGTGGTTCTGGTTTCCAGGGATGATGGGAATTTTGGCTGGGGTGCGTGTGGAGAGTGGGGGATGAGATTCTGCATACTTACGGCCATTTTTCTCTATTAAAATCCATTCCTCTGTGAAACGGTGGGGCAGACATGGCAGCCGGTATGTCGACCTTGGTGTGATGCCAGGCCAGAGAGATCTATATTAAAGTCTTGTGGCGCAGCAGTAAATGCTCCCCCTGTGTGTGCATGTGTGGGGTCCGTCCGGCTCGCACACTCACATGAACGTTCCTGAACAAATATATTTATGACCAGCAAATGTTTACAGATGCCGAGAACTGCTTGTGTGTATTCCAGGACTCAAGGTGGATTAAGTTTGCGCCTCTTCATGAAGAATATCATCTTTTTCTTTTTTGGATGAGTTGTAGTCGGTTGCACTCCAGAGTCGAGGATATTTCAAGGGCCCTTCAGTGGTTTTACCAACAAGAGCTCTTTATTGAGGATTGCATGCTGAAAGGTTTCTGTTTTTTTCCAGTGCATTTTCAGTTTAAAATGAAAAAGCAAACATATATATATATGTTTGCTTTTTCAAAAAAGCATTTAGTACTTTAAAAATGGCACATGATGAACCTGCTTAACGGATGATTCAATCAAAGCAATCAAGAGTTTTGAATTGATTCATTTAAAAAAAAAAAAAAAGAAATAAGAAACTATATTTTGAGTAAATTAAAATGCACCTTTTTATGACTGTTTATTAAAATGTTTAAATTTTTTTGTTATTTACCGGGGTTATTATTGTTGTTAACTAAAACTGAAACCATTAAAAAAATGTATTACTTACAAAATACATTTTAAACTACAAAATTAATTTTAACTGAAATAAAATATTAATTTAAATGGACCGTCTGAACTGATTCACATAAATTAATCAAACTTAGCACCTTAAAATATGACTTTTTTAGGACTGTTTATTAGGACTTTATTATCGTTACTTAAAACTAAAATACACTTAATAAACTTGAAATATAATAATAAACTTAAAATATAATTTTTTTCATTACCTGAAACAAAATAAATGTTAACTGAAATAAAAATAAAATATATTAAAAAAATTTACTTTAATATTTTTATTTTTATTATTATTTTTTTTTTGTTCAATTCACATTAATCTAAATTTTATTATATATCAGTTAAAAAAATAATAACCGTAAGCATATAAAATCATATAAATGATCAATAATTATTTGATCTTTTTAAATGCAAAAAGTCATAATGGTCTTTTAAATAGGCTTCTGTTTTTCATATATTTTTATATTCCTAATGTCATCTTTTATTTTATTTTTTTAACTGTTTTGATTGTTACATGAATGGTATTTGCTTTAAATTTTTCAGATTGTATTTTGTTCTCCTATACAAGTGCATCCTCAACATGAAATCATCTTTTAAACTAAGAAATACCAGCTCTACAAGTAATCAGATCTTGCTCTCTTTGTGTGTTTGTTATTATATACGTCACAGATCATTAGTTTGCTTCAGTTCAGTTCAGTGTATTTATATAGCACTTTTCACATTCGCGTCCAAAGCAGTTTGACAAAGAATAGTTTTGTTGAACTCGATCCTCCTTTTTTATCCTTTTGTAAGGACGGGTTTAAAAATATCAGTAAGTTAACACTACAGTCCTTCCATGAGATTTGCCATAATTCTAGAGCGTTCATGGGATATGTTGATTTACATAAGAACAGCTATCATTTGCACCATGATGGATGAGCTGTTTTTCCTCTTTTGGCAACACAGTGAAATTATAGCACTTCACCAGACATATTTCATTGCAGGTTTTTTGTCCTTCTCAAGCTTAAAGATTTAGTTGCATATGATTTAGACATTCCTTTGTAAACCTCTCATGCTGATAGAAAGGTCAATTATGTCTTTACATTAAACCAGGACACATAAAACACATTTTGCTATAAGCAATTAATCTTATTTCTAGACTGCTTATCTTGTTTTCATATCCAGACAAGCACCACGTGGTATTTTGCTGTGCCTGGTTCATTTTTATCTGTTGTTTTGATGCATTTCTCTCTGTTTGCAATGCACTCAAGGACATTTTCTGACCTGTTTGAGCAGAAATAGCAAAGTTAGACGTTCTTGCACAAGACTCGCGTCACGCCAAGTGACTCGAGACCTGCTCTCAAAATAAAAGCCTTTATCGGTTTCCTCAAGGTCTTCATGCTATAGATGCAGTGCGTCAGTTATTCACAAAGCGCTGATTTTAAAACCATCTTTGGGTTGATGTTGCCAAGCACTGATTGTTACATACTCCTGCTTTCTTTGCTGGTTGAATTGCCTTCATTTCTTTCTTTCTTTCCTCCTGCAGCTCCATCAGGCTGCAGAGGTGGCTCTCCTGAGAGGGGCCAGGGCCATTTCACCAGAGGATATCATATTTCTAATGAGGAAAGACAAGGTAAAAGCACACCAATATGAGACATTACCACAACATAAATCATTAGCCTTCATATTTATGGACTACCGCTTTGGTTATTGAGTAGTTTTATTGCTTTTGTAGTTCTGTTGCTTTTCGCTTACTGTTTAAAAGCAAGAATCGGGGCTTGGTTGATACAATACAACATTATTTAGATATTTTTGAGGGTTTTTTATGATATTTGTGTGATTTCAGTGAAGAGGGTAAGTAGATGAAATATGTTTAATGCAAGAACTGAAACACAATAAACTTCTATAAAAATAATCTTTCAATAAAACAAAGGTTTTCCACACATTTTCCATAATAATTTCGAATCAGTTCTTTGAAATGGACAACTAATTCACCGAAATGAATCAAACTTACTAGCTTTAACTCTCTCTCTCTCTCTCTCTCTCTCTCTAATTATATATATATAATTTTTGCAATATTGCTATATTCATAATGCTGCTTAATTTAGAATCATTGAATCATTTGTTGTGAAGAAACCGAAACTAAAAGATCATTTTGTAGGGTGCAAAGATTGTTTTAGTTTCATTGAAATGGACGACTGCTGGAACGCCATTCTCTCGTGAACGCGCATACGACAGCGGAAGCTAGAGATTACGGTTCATAAAGTTTTAAATATGGATATTTTTCTTACACAAACGCATGGCTTAGCCTCAGAAGGCCTTTTATTAACCCCTTGGAGCCGTGTGGAGCACATTTTATGATGGATGGATGCACTTTTTTGGGCTTCAAAATTTCACTGCCATTATAAGGCTTGGAAGAGCTAGGATATTTTTTTTATATATCTCTGATTGTATTTGTCTGAAAGAAGAACGTCATATACACCTATGATGGCTTGAGGATGAGTAAAGCAAGGGGTAATTTTCATTTATGGGTGAACTATCCCTTTTAAAGGTCTATTTTTTTCTCCTAATGTTTAAAATAGAGACAGTATTCATTTTTTGCAATATTCATAATGCTGCTTAATTATTCTGAACGCATCAGCCAGCTCTAGAAAGGATATCATTTTTTTTAATGTTGTGAAGAGACTCAAACTAAAAGATCATTTTGTGAGATGCAAATATGTATGGAGACTGAGCCTGTTTAATTAGCGATAATATTGATTTTTGCAATATTTCATTCAATCAGCGAGTGTCATTAACCAAAATGCAGACAGAAGCTTTGGCATGAATCTGCTCTTAACAGCCCAATATCACCGAAAAATGAGCGTGAGCGAGGAAAATCATCCGCAGAAGCAGCGGAGTGTCATTAGGACTCTTGCTCCTCATCTAGAGTGTAACTTGAGAGATGGAAGAACATTGAAATGCGCCGTTTGGATTGCGGAGTCTCTATGTCTGAACACAGAAGCTTTTCCATGACTTGCTGTCTAATGTGTTGCTCTTCTGAAAGTTTCCTGACCCCAAAGAAGCTTCTCTGACTATTATCTGCATTAGTGCCTGCATTATAAAATCTAAGAGGGAATTGTTTCAGTGTGAGGAGAGAACAGCCTCTTTCTGTCCTCGGAGGTTTGTGGTGGGAACCGGCCCATGTTAGGAGGTGGTTTTGCTCTGGTGTGGTGCATTCAGAAATTTTGCAAAAGAGGGCAACATAGAGCGAGAACGTAGGTTCTGATTTCTTTCCATGCAGTGTTCGTGCAGTGACCCCTAAAGCAAAACTAAACTGCAAATGAGGAACTTCTGTTCAACCGCCATTGTCTTTTTTTTAGGTTGCTCAGCAGATTTGGGGTCAGATATATTAGAGCAGGAGATTGTCATTGTGAAGTGCTGTTTATTTTCTTACTACGTGTTCCTACATGCTTGTATTCTGAGTGATTCATCAAACTTACTTCGCTTCTGAAAGAAGTGACATCAATCCCGTTTAGTCGTGTCACATTTACAGGATATCATAATGTTAGTGTTAATAGTATCTTAATATCTTCATGCCAGTTCGATTAGAGCTGCTAAATGCGACTATATGGCATCACCATGTGTTAAATTCTTCTTAAATTAGATTTAACCAGTTTTTTTTCACGTTGAATATCCTGTTTCATTCTGAAATACAAGTAGTTACAGAAGTAAATTGGGTTGCAAGCATTCAAAGCAGTGTTTTGGCATTTAGACATTGTTCGGTAAACATACGCTCAGTTAAATTATGGTAGGTAAGTAGGTAAATGCATGATATAAAAACATTTATGTATTTTTACGCACATTTTTATCTGCTGTGTTTAAAGCACTTCTGATCACCCTGTAACAGGCTAATTAAAAATGTTTTACTTGTAGTTGTTGGATGAATTCACTAGATCAAAGGTGTTTAATGTATTTTTATGCTGATTCAGAGTTGAGAATCCATGAATCAAGTGCTCCTTTATTGCTGACAGAAAATAAGATGCATGTTGATCACCATGACAACAAACCATATTTTGTTAGAATTCAAATTCAAAAATTCTAATCTTTTAGAACTGTTAATGGATCGGAACATCATGAAAATTATTTAAAAAATGGAACCTCTGAGTGCCTGCTCTCGATTCCCAACCCTAGTTAATGTATTATACTTTCATATATTTGCCGCTTAGCATGTTTTCCGTATGAATGATTTTGTTCGTAAGATATTCAAAATATTTTTCCCCTCATCAACAGCATTTTACCAGTCGAGGGGTAATTTTGAACGCCACAGTCAATCAGCGAGTGTCATTAACCAAAATGCAGACAGAAGCTTTGGCATGAATCTGCTCTTAACAGCCCAATATCACCGAAAAATGAGCGTGAGCGAGGAAAATCATCCGCAGAAGCAGCGGAGTGTCATTAGGACTCTTGCCAGCTTTTATGTTTTTATTTGCTGTTCAAAGCACTTCTAGCCATCCTGTTACATTTAGCTTAGACACATTTAAAATGTGATTTTTTTTACTTGTAGTTCTTAATTTTAAAGCATGAATTCACTAGATCAAAGGTGTTTAATGTATTTTTATGCAGCTTTTATGTTTTTATTTGCTGTTCAAAGCACTTCTAGCCATCCTGTTACATTTAGCTTAGACACATTTAAAATGTGATTTTTTTACTTGTAGTTCTTAATTTTAAAGCATGAATTCACTAGATCAAAGATGTTTTACTAGTGTTTAGTTAGGTTTTAATGCAACATTTCATTATTAGATTAACTATTCGTCCAGTTGAACACTTTTCACCATGTCTTCAATTCTCATTGTATAAAATCAGGTCTCACATGTTTCTCTTGGAAATACAAGAAGCTACAGACATAAATTAGGTTGCAAGCACTGTTGGTTGGTCATGTTTATACATTTAGACATATTGTTCTGTAAACATACGCTCAGTTAAATTAAGGCAGGTACAGTAAGTCTGGAAAAAATGTGTGATATGCAAACTTTAATGTATTTTTATGCAGTTTTGTGTTTTAATCTGCTGTGTTCAAAGCACTTCTGTTACAGGCACATTTAAAATGCTATTTTTTACTTGTACTTCTTGATTTTAAAGAATTAATACATCAGATCAAAGATCTTTTACTAGAGTTTATGTAGTTACATTTTAAAGCACCATTTCATCATTATTAGATTAACTATTCATCCAAACCAAGATTTTCCAAGGCCTTTTATTCATCCAAATATTGTATCAGATGTCAAATTAAGGATTCTTTAAAGCCAGAAATACACTACTAATTATGTACGTCAACGTATTTGTATCATTTAAAAGTGAGTTTATTCAAACTGACGTTTTTACCGTTTGATTGAATTGCAGCGTTTACAGAGGAAGTCCACAATTACAGTCTGTTCAAGGTTGTGCTGTGCCAGTCCCAACGAACCTGAAGCCCATAAAACGAGCTGTTATTTAGGTGTCATAAATTCAGTAACCTTGATTAAACATTTTCTGAGGCTATTTCTGTCATTGACAACCAGACATTACTTCACAGAAGTGTTTAATCAGTGTATTTCCTTTCATTTCATTAACATTTTCCTTCTTTTTTTTAATTTTCCCACCCTGGAGCTTTAGGCCCGTAATGCCCGCTGACGCTCAAACGCATGAACATGCTGGAAAAAGTGAAAATTGTTTGCTGTGGTAGAGCGTGATTTTATGCTGCTGTGGGAACTATGTACATAGTGAACAAAACATAACACAGATGAAAAATCTCTCATATTTGAGCTGCTTATTAGTCTGGATTCCAGCTCTGCTCACTCTGGACATTCATTAACCAACTTCATGAGGTGCATCATGGGATGTTTTTAAACACTAGTGAAGAAGTAAAATGTTTGATGGATGCTTGATGATGCTTTATTTATAATGATTATTTGATTATGCTTTTCCACTCCAACTAATATATTATTGTTTAAAATAAGATTTTATTTATTTATTTTATAGTTATTATGCTAATGCAATGTTAACATTAATAAATGTTAATAATGTTCATTAAAAATATGTATAATTATATAATGTATGTCATATAAATTATTAGTAATTGTAGTATAGTAATTTTGTTAAATGAACATTATTAATATTTATATATTTTTAACACATTAAAAATGTATTAATACATGTATGCAATTATATATTATTAGTATTGTTAATAATTTTGTAGTTGTAGTTACCGGTATGCATATTTACTCATTAAAAATTGTTTTGTAAAAAAAAAAAATAATAATTTATATTTGCCTACAAAACTCATTTCAGGCATTTAACTGAGGATGCAGTATATACTGGACCAATATGACTTATCATATTTCGATTAGTGGTCAACCGATATATTGCCAAAGCCGATATATCGGCCGATATTTGGCTTTTTTTAAATATCGGCATTGACCGATAAGTTTTCCTGTTTGGCCGATGTGTTCGAAGCAGGGCTTTTATTTTGACTGCGCGCCAGACTTTTATTTTGACAGCGCTGAGAACAACAGCGCCAGAGTTGCCAAGTCCGCGTATTATATATTTGGGCTTCTTTTTTTGTAAAGTTGCGTGAAAAAATCCTGGGCCGCGGGGTTGCGGTTTTTTGGGCTTATTTTAAAAAATATGGTTGCTTGTTAGGAAAACCTGACAAGCAGTTTGTTTCTTTTCATTTATGTTCACTGTATTCTCCAATGCATTGATTGACACTCTGTCTGCTCACAGTTAATAGCCAATCAGTGCAAAAATATAAGTGCTGTAGCGTAATTTGTCAAATATTCCACCCCCTCCTCACGCGCCTTCTTTTTGAACGTGATTTTTACTTCAATGAGGGATTGAAGAAAAATCACGTTCAAAAAGAAGGCACGTGATGCTGTAATCCAAGCAATGATAGTAGTAGACATAGAGGAGTGGGATGACTTTTTTCCTTTATAAGGTAGCCTAATGTTTTTGTAATGTATTAATTATCACGGGCTGTAAAAAAAACAAAAAAAAACAAGTAGGCCTATACTAATACTAATACTAGTAGATTTGGTTCGAATAGCCAATATTTTAGTAGGCTATAAATATGTGGCTATGTTACAACTCCCCTTTGAAGCTTTCAAGAGGTGATTGGAGATGAGTTTTGTTCCTGCTTTGTTGCAGTTTGCCGATTTTTGTAAAATAACTTGTTTTTGCTTTTCCGATAAAAGGGTAGTTTCATTTTAATATGTTGCGGGCTCATTTATTGGTAATAAATAATTGATAATAAATAATATTGATGATAATTATCAAAAAATATTGAGCTTGTTTTGGGCTTGTTTTTGAAGCTGCGGTTGCTTATTTGTCTCGCGAGAGTTGGCAACAGTGAACAGCGCCTGAGCACAGTGCTCACATTCTCCCTCTTGTTTGCTGTCGTCGTTAACAGTTCTGTTTAATACGGACAGAAATCTGTCTAATAATCAGATAGAACGGTTAAACAAAGGAATTAAAATGTATACAAAAAGTATTATAACGATTGCTTTTATATTATTAGTAATAGAAAAGCAAACATTATAATACTTTCTTGTTTGCCGTCATTCAGCAAATACGCATTTATATAATTTAAACAAATCTTTGAATGACTAATGAACATTTAATTTCAAACCTTGCAAACTTAGTCGAATCCAGTTGTGAGATCTTGTGAAGTGTGCATTTGTATCCTGCATGATCGCGTATGCTTGACGGTCGGTCCGTGTGAATTGAATACAGACAGGAGGAGAGTTCAGCTTCACTGGAGACCCGCGATTGACAAACTTTAAACTCGTGATTTCAAATTATTCTGCGCTTTATGCATTTGCCCACTGCCATATTCATGTCATTTTCACTGTGTGCTGTATGTAAAATGAGTGTTACCTTGGCTTTATTTGAAAAAATATGATTCCCAAATCCCAATGCACACAAACTTCCCAGAATACTGAGTACATTGTTGGTTACAGTCTTTACTTCCTTTTTTATTAAATATTTATTTATTTGTGAAAAATACTTTGTCATCTAAACTATAAGTATGTTTATTTAACACATTTATTTTTTTTATCCATTTTCAAATTATTTTTTAAATTTCTTAAATATTAAATAAAATTATATCGGCTTTATATCGGCCATTGGCCACCCTGCTTTCCAAGATATTGGCATCGGCTGTCAAAAAACCAATATCGATCGACCACTAATTTTGATAGTGGTTATTTATCAGTCAGGATAATATATTCACTAGTTTTAAGATTTAACTCATCTGTCATTGTGATTATGGCAAAGATTAAACCATTTAAGTTATCTTGAAGAATGTTTTCCATCTCTCATAAAACACTTAGCAGATTATTCCAATCCATTGATTATTCAAATCCACTGATCAGAGACTTCAGAGACTAAACAGCATCCCATAGGTCCCTCTATTATTATGAGCATTTTTTTTCTCATACAAACAGTGTATACTTTTCTTCTATGGCAGATTTCAAAGGATTTATTTGTATGAGATACAGTATAAGTGTGTGTTGTCTGAACTCTGGGTCTTCATGGCTCAGGTAAAGGAGATGAGTGGGCTGCTGGATCTCTGATGAGTGACTTTCTGTCCTCGCACAGACAAATACAGCAGCAGCAGTAGTGTCAACAAGAGGCAGCGTCTGCTGCAGGACTTCATGAGCTCCATCGACCAGACGGGGGAATTCCTGACGCTGGTGGAGGAAGAGGAGGTAGATGAAGTCAAGCAGGAGCGGCTGGAGGTGAGTAGGAGGCGAGAGCAGAAATGTGCACGCTTCAGCGAGGGTGGAAGGCACAGGCTAGGATTGTGGGAGAAATTCAATGGGATTGTCCTGCGGTCACAGAAAGAGAAGGAGCGGTTCATTCTTTTATGATAAAGATCGGCCAAATTCACTAAAACCCTGCATCTTATTCATGAACCACTTCTTTTTAGTCCATTTTAGTTCATTTGATCCAGTTTCCATTCACTGCTGTTTTTTTTAAATTATTATTTATTTAAACCAATGGCATTTTTAATATATATATATATATATATATATATATATATATATAACAAAACTCACGGCTCGGATCATATTACGGATTTTGAGTCAC